ACACGACAACTAGTTACACGACAACTAGTTACACGACAACTAGTTAAACAACAACTAGCTACACAACAACTAGCTACACGACAACTAGTTACACGACAACTAGTTAAACAACAACTAGCTACACAACAACTAGCTACACGACAACTAGTTACACGACAACTAGTTACACGACAACTATTTAAACAACAACTAGCTACACGACAACTAGCTACACGACAACTAGCTACACGACAACTAGTTACACGACAACTAGTTACACGACAACTAGTTACACGACAACTAGCTACACGACAACTAGCTACCCGACAACTAGCTACCCGACAACTAGTTACACGACAACTAGTTACACGACAACTAGTTACACGACAACTAGCTACACGACAACTAGCTACACGACAACTAGCTACCCGACAACTAGCTACCCGACAACTAGTTACACGACAACTAGTTACACGACAACTAGTTACACGACAACTAGTTACACGACAACTAGCTACACGACAACTAGCTACCCGACAACTAGCTACCCGACAACTAGTTACACGACAACTAGTTACACGACAACTAGTTACACGACAACTAGTTACACGACAACTAGCTACACGACAACTAGCTACACGACAACTAGCTACCCGACAACTAGTTACACGACAACTAGTTACACGACAACTAGCTACACGACAACTAGCTACACGACAACTAGCTACCCGACAACTAGCTACCCGACAACTAGCTACACGACAACTAGTTACACGACAACTAGTTACACGACAACTAGTTACACGACAACTAGTTACACGACAACTAGCTACACGACAACTAGCTACACGACAACTAGCTACACGACAACTAGCTACACAACAACTAGCTACACGACAACTAGCTACACAACAACTAGCTACACGACAACTAGTTACACGACAACTAGCTACACGACAACTAGCTACACGACAACTAGCTACACGACAACTAGCTACACGACAACTAGCTACACAACAACTAGCTACACAACAACTAGCTACATGACAACTAGCTACACAACAACTAGCTACACAACAACTAGTTACATGATAAGGTAAGGAGTTGTCATTCTTGACTTGAAACAAGCAAGCAATCTCTAGACCACTGGTTCTCAACCTTCATAATGCCGCCACCCTTAAATACAGTTCCTTATGTTGTGACGACCCGCAAGCATAACATCATTTTCGTTGGTACTTCATAACTTTAGTGAACATGTGTTTTTTACAATGGTCTTAGCTCATTAACTAATGGGGGTCCCCAATATATCTGTTCTGCTGCCCTGTGGGGGTTCTCATTGTGGGGAAACAAGAATAGACCCTCTGCCTTCCAACAAGCAAGTCGAGAGAGTCGACTAACTGGTGGCTTCTTTCAAAGTCAGAGTGCATCTGCCTGAGAGACAAGGAACCAATAATCTGCATTAAAATAAGTCAGATCTGTGGAATGGAAGTGAACGCAATACTAAGGGACTGGAACAAAAACAAAGTAAAGAGGTGGACGAACAACTAAAATTGTGCACCAGACTTTACAGCCGGTAAACGCAAAAAAAAAAGAAGAAGAAGAAATTACGGGATTTCCGGGAATTGTACCTGTGTGACTATTATCCTTGGAATATTAATCATGCAAACTGCAGAGATGGAGGGAAACGGTTTGCTACCTTTCTAGACTGTCGTTATTAGCACTGATAGTCATGGGAGATAATCTCCAAAAGATTAACATTTTATCATGTTTGCACTTGTTGTGTCCCTGGGAATTATTAACTTTTACGCCCAACCAATCCCCCCCCCCCACTACACACACACACACACACATATTCCCTCCCCCTCCCCCCTCACCTCCACCCCCGTGACATCCTTACCCACACAGAACTGCAGCTTACGCCTGGTTGGTTTGGCTGTGTACACTACCGGTGCCCTAATTATGGTTTACTTAGAAGTTGAATGGTATCTGGTTTTGCCGTTTAAGTGTGCTAGCAGCTGCGAAATTATTTCGCCTCACGGTGAAAAACCTTCAGGCCCTGTTGGTTTGTCATACCGATTGGCATCTCCCGATCTAACGGTGATGGCCTCTCAGGAAGCAGCCTGCAAGAGATAAACGGCACAAAAGCACTTTCCCACGGACTCTGCTACCAGAGAGTTTGACTACCCCCCCCCCCCTTTTCTCCTCCCCCTCCCAACACCAGGATTATATTATCTCATTCTTGATTGCTGACCAACAGGACAATACATAGATACCGCGTTCAACATTCAAAGAATTTGTTATTCGTATACCAGTAAAAGCTACAGTAGGCTATTGTAACCTAGATGGGAGAGGTAAATATGTGAGTAAGAATATCCGCGGGTCAGGATAATGAGAAGCAAGCATACATTGTGACTCGAGTCTTTGTAAAATATTATTAGAAGTACTAATAGTAAATTCGCGACCAGCCAAAGTACAAACTAATAACTGTCGTTCCCATGTGGGATGCAAATTTTGTTATTTGAAGCCCCACCTTGGCTTTTGTCGGGGGCCCTGAATATAGCCGGGACATAAATATGGCCTAACGGCTGAAAGGGGTTTTGGGAACTTTCCACGGCTGATCCTTATCCGCATGGTGGTACTTTGTGTCACCTGGTGTTCATCACTTGTGTGATGTCCTGGCGGGGAACAACAAGAGAGACAGACAGACAGACAGACAGACAGACAGACAGACAGACAGACAGAAATAAACGTATATACTTTTTTTTAAAGTCGGGGTAACGAATTATTATTTTGTTCTAGTGATCAAGGGATATGATTTGCAAGGCTCAGATTTATAGAGGCTAACTGGCACTCGGCGGGTTATACAGTCAACTTCACGCTAACTATCCTAACTAGGGCGTATATATGTACAAATAAAACTGAACTGTCTTGTTTTATGTAAACAAAATGATCACGTAACGAGTGTGACGTTACCATGATAATCACGACGCTGATCCTGAATGTGCGGTGGAAAGATGAGCAACCTAAACTGATAAAGTAATTTGTGTGTGAGTGTGTGTGTGTGTGTGTGTGTGTGTGTGTGTGTGTGTGTGTCTTTGTATATGTGTGTGTGTATGTGTGTGTGTTTCAGCGAAAAAAATTTTTTTTTTTTTTTTTGTCTGTTGAGTCAAGAGGGCAGTACAAAGTTAAACTCTGGTACCATTTTGTTTTCTAACACATGACCAAGTAAATAATCAAAATATATTCTTGAAATCTAGTGAAATTTGCAACTTTTTTGTAATCATCTTACTGTCAGAATATTAACAAACATCTAGTTTTCATTTCGCCTTATTTGCAGTATGTGAGAAGGCAGACACGGATTCAAAGTAACCAATGAGCGAGGCAGAAACGGATTCAAAGTAACCAATCAACGTGGTGACAGTTAACTTGAGTAAAGGGAACTTTTCAAAACATCAGACTGTACGCGTTTTACAGACATTTCACTCTCAGCTGGTCATCTCCAGCATAAGCTTTCCGTGAATTGTATAAACATAACTTTTTATTGTATGCGGAATAGGCTATCAAAACAATAACTACATATCGCTGCACATGTGAACTGATTTCCACACCATCTCCACAAGTGAGTCAACTACTGTATATTTTATTATTCAGGGGTGAACAAATTGTTCTTCTTCACGTTCACCAGCTGTAAACTCTGAGGGAAAGTTCTGGTTGTTTGTCTACTTCTGGACTGCAGTCCTGTTCCGAAACCTGAGTGAGTGTTGCGTGTGCATCCGTTTTACAGATCTGACTCATTTGTATGCAGACTGCTTGTTCCTTGCTTCTCAGGCAGATGCATTCGACTTTGAAGGAAGCTCCCAAATAGTCAAGTCTTACGACGACCACAAATTATTTGTCAAAGACTAAAGATATTGGCAGCTTCAAAAAAAAAAAAAAAAGCAGGACACGCAATTGTAAAGTATAAAATCATAGAGACATGGAAAATATAAGGTCACATGCAAAAAATCATGTTGATCCGTACAGGGTTTTTCGAGACCTTTAGTAAAGTGTGGGGTCTGCGTGGTCTCGGGGTCTGCGTGGTCTGGGTGGTCTCGGGGTCTGCGTGGTCCTGAGGTATGGTGTCCGCCTTGACTGCTAGAGGTTCCGGGTTCAATCCCCGGTAAGGGCTGGGATTTTTTCATGTGGACTTGGACTTCTAGTAATTTCTCCTGGTCTCTGGGTAGTGAGATCGGGCGCCCGTTCGTATTGTTGCGCACGTTTAAAAAAAATATATTTCTTGGCAGTTGGACATCGAAAATGTGGACGCAAATTTGGGGTTAAAAATCTACCCAAAGTGTTTTAGGATCCGCGCCGGTGCTACAGAGCCTGTGCACTGTGCTGAGCTTCATCGGACTCAGACTTGAGTTAGAAGAAGAACGGGGCACTCATGGGTTGCTACACGTGTGCCATCATGTTGACCTTTTGTTCAAAACCTCAGACTGTTAAAGTGTGAGGGTAAGACTTTTGAAACGTGCCACAGCTTAAATATTATGAATTAATCCAGTAATAGAAAGTGTATTGATGGGCACTCATCGAAAGAAGTAGACAGATAGAAGAACACACTAGACAACATAAAAATCGAAAGCTATAGTTACCGTGCAGGGAATTGAACCTGTCACATCCAGACGGCGTCTGCGCCTCGCCATGGATACAAGTGCACTAAGAATATGGTCATCTAGGCACCCCCTAAAAAGGTGTCTTATTGGCCATGTCTATCGTACAGCTTGAAATCCACAACTATGGAATACAGAGAAAATTAATTTCAAACCATTTAACTGTCACCGTCTGGAGGTGACAGGTTCAATTCCCGGCACTGTAACTATAGCTTTCGATTTTTAGGTTGTCTATTGTGTTCATCTATCTGTCTACTTCTTTCTATGAGTGCCGATCACTACACTTTCTGTTACTTTATTAATTCATAATATTTAACAGCCTCAAAGGTTCCCCCTCTGTTTATTCACAGCTGAACTACCTGCACTCACCTGACTGCGTCACTGGGACCTCCGTGATTTGTGTTCCTTGGGTTGTAGTGGCCACCTGTGGAATCGCATCCCGCAGTTAGGTTTCCGGTCGCGTGAACATGAAACCCATGCAGGTACTCCGTGTCATTGGCCGTGGAAGGTAGGGATTTGAATCCTTCCAGATGCACTTCGATGGTTATGTACTGGCCATGTTTCTAAAAACAACATACACGGATCTAGTGTTTGGTTCACGGCGATAAAAACATAAACTGTAGTTAAACATACAGCAGGGGTGACAGACGAGAGATATATAATATATTAATAAACTTGCAGACATTGTATTGATCGGCACTCATGGAAAGAAGTAGAAAGTTTCCATAGTTATGGATTTCAAACTGTACGATAGACATGGCCCCAAAAAAATCTTTCGGTGTGTTTCAATTGTTTCCATATAGAGGAACACACGTAGTCTGGAGGTAATAGGTTCGATTCCCAAAACGGTAGCTATAGTTTTCGATTTTTATGTTGTCCAGTGTTTTCTTCTATCTTTCTACTTCTTTCTATGAGTTCCGATCAATACGTTATCTGTTCCTTTAATAATGTATAATATTTACCGGCCTCAATGGTTCCCTGCTCTGCTTATTTATGAGGGGTGTATAAGCACTATGAAAAAGATCTTTTTCTTCTTCTTCTTCTTCTTCTTCTTCTTCTTCTTCTTCTTCTTCTTCTTCTTCTTCTTCTTCTTCTTCTTCTTCTTCTTCTTCTTCTTCTTCTTCTTCTTCTTCTTCTTCTTCTTCTTCTTCTTCTTCTTCTTCTTCTTCTTCTTCTTCTTCTTCTGCTTCTTCTTCTTCTTCTTCTTCTTCTTCACCTCCTCTTGTACCGCTTCGGATGTGGAATGAGATAGAAGGTTCTACTTTTTGCTCCTCTGACCGCCTCGATCACAGACACGTCGTGTTGTTGTTGAGTTTCTCAAATGATATCGCTCCATGCTTCGCAAGATAGTCTCTAAGTGTGCAAACCTTTTCCAATCTGCGGTCTCTGTGTGTAATTTAGAACTGGTTTTGTGCAGCCTCTTCTGTTAAGATCTCATTTTTCATGTGATCTCTTACGGTCACTTATGCAGCCTTTCTGGGACACCTCACTCATGATAAAGATAACTAGGCCTAAAACAGCTACAATCAATAACAACGAGGGCCATAACAATCAACATGCTATACAACTATAACGATAACTTCAACAACATTTACACACACATAAATACACACACATACACACATATATATATACACATACATACACACACACATACACACACACAGACGATAACATCTCAACAGTTCCTTAAATAGAAAACCCAATATTTACAACTCGAACCATGGCTACGACAGTTACAATTTATTTGCGTGTTAGTAATTGGACGTTGCACGCCAATATCAGCCCCCACCCCTGCCCACCCCCCCTTCCTTTCCCACCTTACACTAAAACACGGCGATCTGCTGCCAAATCGCCCGCAGCTACGATCGAACCCGGCACCTCGGCATTACACAGCGCGTTCACAAAGCTAAAGCAACATATACCGACTCACGACAATAAGGATCATTATAAAAACAAGTTTACTTAGACTATAGACAATTAGAGTTAAAATAACAATAACTGGAACAAACAATAACTTTAACCACTGTTACAAACAAAGACAACAATAACTTAAACCACTGTTACAAACAAAGGCAACAATAGTATGAACCACTGTAGCAAACAAAGACAATAATAGGATGAACCAATGTAGCAAACAAAGGCAACAATAGTATGAACCACTGTAACAAACAAAGACAACAATAACTTAAACCACTGTTCCAAACAAAGACAACAATAACTTAAACCACTGTAACTAACAAAGACAACAATAACTTGAACCACTGTAACAAACAAAGACAACAAAAACTGCAACCGCTGTAACAAAAAAAGGCAACAATAACATGAATCACTGTAACAAACAAAGACAACAATAACTTGAACCACTGTAACAAACAAAGACAACAATAACTTGAACCACTGTGACAAACAAAGACACCAAAACAATAACGTGAACGACTGTAGCAAACAAAGACAACAATAACATGAACCACGGTAACAAACAAAGACAACAATAATATGAACCACTGTAACAAACCAGCAATAACCACATCTTGAATCTACATTTTCGACACCTAGGACCGACGGTGACGACAACTTTCCCCTTATAAGGACGACTGAAGCGTTATATTGAGGTTTGCAGTTAGGCTATGGTACCTGCATCTTTTAGCACATCACCATCATCAATCAGCATGACCTTTAGTGAACGTCGCTCTTATTGCGGCATGCTGACAGTCTTTCTTTCTCAAATAAATTTTTCAACCCTATGTGCTTTCATACATCTTGCGAAAACTGCACTCTTCATCACCCTTCTATCCTGACCCAGACCACTATGACGCTTAACATGGTCAAAATACCTCAGCTTTCGGGAGAGTATGCTGTGTGTGAGCCAATTCTCCTCTGTGTTCAGATCATGCATGATGTTAATGGGTTTCTTCTTTATAGTTTACGGTATTCTCACAATTTTTCTGTAGCATTTCAGTTCACAAGTTCCGACTTTTGTCTTCAAAGTCTGAGTGAGACTCCATGACTTGAATCCATAAGTTGCCAGGCGAAAGATGCATTATCTCACAATTTTACTTTAACCTGCTCTCAGGTTTTATGCCCCAGGTTCTTCATGCCGTTTACTCTCTGCATTGCGAAAGCAAGTCTTTCACTAATTTCTTTTGTGCTGTCGCCATAGTTGTTTACTACTGAGCCCAGATATTCCAAATCAGCATTTTGTTTTGTTAAGCACAACAAATCCAGTGCAGCAAATTATTTACTGATCGCCATATACGACATGCTTGGTTGGGAACGGTGATACTATTGTGCTGTCCCCTAAAGTGAGAGCCCTAAATACGGATGATGACGTTGACGACGACGGCGATGAAAATATTCTTTTGCTTTTTTGGTATTCGCCTTTAAAAAGGAGGGTTGAAACGTTTACAGCTAGGCTGCAATATCTGCCTATCTTAGCAAAACATCTTATCTCAGCGAATTCTTTGTTGACCGCCTTCTACGAGATGCTTGTTTGGGCAAAGCGGCAACGTTTTTGGTCCGCTAAATAAGTTCCCGATATAATATTAATTAAGATGATGATGATGACTACGACGGTGATGATGATGATTATGTTGATGATGATGATAGTGATGATGATGACTACGACGGTGATGATGATGATTATGTTGATGATGATGATGACTACGACGGTGATGATGATGATTATGTTGATGATGATGATGACTACGACGGTGATGATGATGATCATTATGTTGATGATGATGATGATGATGATGATAACGATGGTAATGATAATTACGATCATGATGATGATGATGATGATGACTACGACGGTGATGATGATGATGATGATGATTATGTTGAATGATGATGATAATGATAACGATAACGATGGTAATGATAATTACGATGATAATGACGATGACGATGATGATGATGATGAAAATAATAAGACACACACAAAAACATTAAAATTTACTGAGAATTTCAGATCACGCCCGTTAGGGAAGAAGGCCACTTCTTCAACGAAACTCTAGCCATGTTTGTCCTTCAGCGAAACACGCAACAAGGGAATGTCACCAGAATTCCGACAAAGTCACCTGGTACTTATTCTTACGGAGTGAGGTTGATGGTAGATTTCCATCCTGACCATTTACTGACGTATAAACTTCATGGGGACTGTGCTGCAGGCATTTCACCCCCCTCCCCCATCCTTTTTTTTCCAATCCCATCTTTTCAAGCTTTGCAACCTGCTGGTTGCGCAAGACCAGGAACTCTTCCAATTTGTGGACCCTATATTACGGTGTAAACAACACGATTCAGCACTGTATATGAAAACTGGCTGGGGATAGGGCCTCTTTTGGTAAAGTTTTCTTCGGCATGTTCGAGGTATTTTTTCAAGAATGTTGTCTTTGTCAACAGACTCCAAGACGATGATCATTTGGGCCACTGGAAAGGTCAGTTGCCAGTTGTGCTGATTGCTCTGTCTGCTTAAATACCAAAAGTAATGAAACATCAGTCAACTACAGGGTGTTCCCAAGAGAGATCTTTTTCTTCTTCAGCATTCTGAGCCCTGAGGTTCACTGCTGCAGTATCGTTCCCCTCAACTCATCTATCTGGTTGGCCTTCTACCTGTTGGTGACACCAAGTGTTTCCAAGAAAGATGGACCATAGTATTTTCTAGATAAGCTTCTTCTTCTTCTTCTTCTTCTTCTTCTTCTTCTTCTTCTTCTTCTTCTTCTTCTTCTTCTTCTTCTTCTTCTTCTTCTTCTTCTTCTTCTTCTTCTTCTTCTTCTTCTTCTTCTTCTTCTTCTTCTTCTTCTTCTTCTTCTTCTTCTTCTTCTTCTTCTTCTTCTTCTTATTCTTAGTCTTCTTCTTTTTCTGCTTCTTCTTCTTCTTCTTCTTCTTCTTCTTCTTCTTCTTCTTCTTCTTTTCTTCTTCTTCTTCTTCTTCTTCTTCTTCTTCTTCTTCTTCTTCTTCTTCTTCTTCTTCTTCTTCTTCTTCTTCTTCTTCTTCTTCATTTTCCTCTTCTTCGCGTTCAACTATTGCGGAGAGTTCTGGTTATTCATCCACTTCTGAACTGCAGTCGTGTTCCAGAACATGAGTGTTACGTGTGCATCCGTTTTACAGATATGACTCATCTGTATGCAGACTGCTGGTTCATTGCTTCTCAGACAAATGCAATCCGACTTAGAAGAAAGCTCCTAATTAGTCGACTCTTACGACATGCTTTTGGGTAGGCAGTGGGTCTTTTCTTGTTTTCCCCACAATAGGGTTCTGAAACCCACACGGAATAAGCTTAAATCGAGCATCATTTCTTCACTACCACACAACAGTTATGACTTGGATTATTCTCACAGCACTTCGGACAAGTCCATAAGTGCTTAGATTCCCCTGCAGCTTATACATTAGTATTGAGTGGCTGATCGGGCTAGTTCTGTGCTGGTTAAAAAGATCTCTTGTACGCAAAGTGGGTCCTCTCGTGTCTGGAGTGTGTCAGTTTTTACTTCTACTCTCGCATTTTTAGCAGCGATGCCTCTCCCTCCTCCAATCCTCCAATCGTTCTCTTTTGTGTAATGATATAAACAATATGGGCGCGAGTCACTAGCTGCCCATTTGCAACTGTCGCTATATCAGCCAATCTATCTACTCTTTTATTGCGAATGACACCTGCACTTCCCGGGGAGAAAGATCGATCAGAAAGACATGTGTATACTTCAAGTTTAGTTTCTGAGTGTCGTCTATTTTGTACTGTATGTACCTGTTACTCGTGCTTACACTAGGATTTTTCTTTAACTGTCGATACCCAATGGTGCGCAGTACCGACATCTTTTACAGGCAAATGTTTAAAACATTTTTAGGGAGTACCGACACCTTAGTTTAGACACACTGTAGTGAATGCTTGCCTCTTTGTGGACACTTTCTGGTGAGTGCTGCCACCTGTTGAAAGGGGGGGGGGGGTGAAAAGGGGGGGGGGTGGTACTATTCTTGATCAAGGATGTAATCAAAACATGTTTGTCATGATTTCGCTAATGTTTTATTGCTGTTCTAACTGGTATGTGTCACAAATTGCGGCCAGGAGAGAATGGTGCCGCGGGAAGTAGCCAGGTGATATGGTCGAGCTCTGCGTGGAGATGTAAGCCAAGTCGAACTAAAAAATCAGATTGCTACTGGCGCTATCATAACTGGAACACTTCGCTGGCTAATGAAAAAGAGGATGGAACGCTTATCGTAATGTCCAGAGTGAAGTTTCAATCAGTTGTGACACAGATGATCTTCCAAACCATGATCTTACACTGTCCAATATCTTCTCTGTCGGTCTTCCTTTGTCTGTCTTCCCCTCCAACTTTCCTACTGTCACGATGTACTCCAGTTTTCTCCTTCTCAAGTTATGACCAAAGAATGTGGATTTTCTCCTTTTGACGTGGGTAATCTGTTCTCTTCGTGAGTCAGTTTTTTTACAAGAAATCTTTATTACTCTTGTTATCTGTTCATGGTGTTTTCGACATTCGTCTATTACTACGTGAACAACGTCGTCATTTCGATTGTTCTAGCGATGTGTTGCATTGGGAGTTAACATAGAACAACGTCGTCATTTCGATTGTTCTAGCGATCTGTTGCATTGGGAGTTAACATAGAACAACGTCGTCATTTCGATTGTTCTAGCATGGTGTTGCACTGGGAGTTAACATAGAACAACGTCGTCACTTCGATTGTTCTAACATGGTGTTGCATTGGGAGTTAACATAGAACAACGTCGTCATTTCGATTGTACTAGCGATGTGTTGCATTGGGAATTAACATAGAACAACGTCGTCATTTCGATTGTACTAGCGATGTGTTGCATTGGGAGTTAACATATTTTCTATTAATTGGGCCTAGACATAGAATCCCCAAACAGGAACTGAAATGGGAAACACGTGGATTGAGGAGACGACGATGTCTATGATAAACCTGAAGGCAAACGTTGTTGAAAGAGGCCAAAGCTGCTAGTCTGGATTCCATCCACTATTTTGACAGAATTGCACAGGATATAAGGGAATTGAGGTCTAGACTGTGTGTACCATGTGAGGTGTAAGGCACAACAGGATGATGTTGATGATGACGATGATGATGATAAGATGACAATGACGACGACAGTGATGAAGATGGCGACAATGATGATGATTAGGATAAAGATGACGATGATGATGATGATGATTGCTGTTGATAATGACGACGATGATGACGTTGATGTTGGTGGCGATGATGTTGATAAAGATGATAATGGTGATTATGGTGATGATGACAATGATGCTGATATGCGGATGATGATATTGTTGATGATGATTATAAGTTATGAATTAAGAACCGAAATTATAGCACTCGCGATATTCTCAAAAGCACTCTATCCCTATCGTCAGCAGCAAGTGCACAGTTCCAGTTCCAACAGCAACAGTAGCAGTCTGACTGTATATCCGTCTCACCCTTTCCACTGAGTGTTGAACGTCGGTCAAATCCCTGGTCACTTCTCGCTGCACAATTGTCTTCAGAATATGATTATCGTTGTGTGCCTCCGCACTGTTCGCTCGCTCCCAGAAGTTCTTTACAACAACTAGCTTGTCATTCATCAATTTACCACAGAGTGCTGTAGAACCAGCAAAACTATCAGCATGTTCCTTTCCTTCACACCGTCATGGCTGGAGAAAATATCCAGAGGGCGCTGACTGCCTGTGACCGCTGAAGCGATGATGATGATGATGATTAATATTATAGCGACACACATTCAGTTCAACTACTTCTAGCGTGACGTTGGAAATGGCAGCTGTCATGGGGGCGCTCGCATGGCTAGCGGAGCAGAAAGCTACTTAAGCTTTGATAGTGGTACACTCAGTGAGTTTGAGTTTGCTGACTATAATGAGCTTGCAGCCACAAGAACCCTCGATTCAAGGAAGTATCTTAGATGTACACACCGGAGTGAAGGGAAATGAAAGAGCCGACAGATTAGCCGTATCTGCGGTTGGGGACGAGGAATATAGACTGGGTAGACATACTGAATAGGCGTTCTAGACACTGAGAAAAAGAAGTCAGAGACATTGAGACAAAGGAGTCAGAGACACCGAGACAAAGGAATCAGAGACACTGAGACAAAGGAGTCAGAGACACTGAGACAAAGGAGTCAGAGACACTGAGACAAAGGAGTCAGAGACACTGAGACAAAGGAGTCAGAGACACTGAGACTAATGAGTTAGAGACACTGAGACAAAGGAGTCAGAGACACTGAGACAAAGGAGTCAGAGACACTGAGACAAAGGCATCAGAGACACTGAGACAAAGGAGTCAGAGACACTGAGACAAAGGAGTCAGAGACATTGAGACAAAGGAGTCAGAGACACTGAGACAAAGGAGTCAGAGACACTGAGACAAAGGCATCAGAGACACTGAGACAAAGGAGTCAGAGACACTGAGACAAAGGAGTCAGAGACACTGAGACAAATGAGTCAGAGACATTGAGACAAATGAGTCAGAGACATTGAGACAAAGGACTCAGAGACAGAGACATTGAGACAAAGGGTTCAGAAACATTGAGACAAAGAAGTCACAAACAATGAACAGTCTGTTGGAACTGGGAAGTAAGCGAGGACAAACGTAAGAAACCGGCTGTGGGGTAAAGAAAGAGTACAGGCCAATAAACTTCCACTGATTTAGTTGAGCATGGAGGCATGGAGACACTGAGATGTCTGCTGCATCTGAGGACAGAGCAGGTATGGGACACCGCTGTGCTAGGATGTCGATTTGGGCAACAAATTACAAGTACCGACACAATTGCCAGGAAACATAACACAAACTACAGGCACTTGGGGAATAAGGTTGGCTGTGATGATCCGTAGCAATTGGCAAAGTTTAAAAAAACTGACCTGGCGGAATGTTACGACTCCGGTCACCGGCTGGTCACTTCCATCATTGGGCTTGACAGCACAGACGGCCACTCGTTCCTCCCCTCGTTTCTCTACAGTGAACACAAATAATCAGTTAGGTTAGTTGCGTATCATTTACAGGACGTCGCAGAACCTACCCCAACAGCCCCTGGCCGTTGTGTGGGTTTTCTAGGCAAATTTACGTCCAGCAGTTTGTCATTGCTTTCTAGACGGTCAGCTTTCTTGATACCACTGTCCAAACCAACGCAAGGAGAATGGCCCGCAGCTGGGATCGAGCCCGGCAACCCGGCATTACAAAGCGTTCGCATCGACTTAGCCACAGAGCCACAAATTATCAGTTAGAGATTACAAATTACGTAATTTTATTCTGCATTGTGGCAACTATTTATGTGTGTGTGTATGTGTTTGTGTGTGTGTTGTGTCAATTTATGTCTTCCTCTTTCTGTCTGTCTTTCTCTTTTTCTCTCTCTCTCTCTCCCTGTCACTCTCTTACCCTCTCTCCTTAACTTCTCTATCATCTTTTCTCACTTCTCATTCTCGTCTTCTCTTTCTCTCTCTCTCTCCCCCCCCCCCCCCTTCTCTGTCTGTCTCTCACACGCTCTCTCATCTCCCTAATTCGCCCTCTCATCATCTCCTTCTCTTTCTTTTGCTCTCGTTCTCTCTCACACTACCCCCCCCCCCCCCCCCCCCCCCTCTCGTAGTGTTCGTACTTGCATCCTGTATTGAGACCAAACCATGCGTTTTTTACCTGTTTAGTTACTTTAATCTGACAATCTGCTCTGTTGTATACTCTAAAACGTGTTTATCCGTCCATTCGCCCACAATCCTGTTTGTTTATATATTTAAATAAGACCATATCACAAAGTACCCGATACATTTTCATCACATAATTTATTCCGCCTTACTTTTGGAAGTCTTATGAAGCTATGGGCAATTGTACACATGGATGATTTTCTCCCTTAGATCAGATTCATGCCCTGTGAAGCTTACCCGCTTTGATGTTCTCTCGCTGCCCTCTTCGTCAGTGCAATTTGAATCCTACAATCTGTTTCCTAACTAGGTTTTTTTTAAAATGTAATTCCCTATCCTTAAAAGTCGGCGCCTGTGGCTTAGGCGTTGTGAACGCCCTTTGTAATGCCGGGGTGCCGGTTTCGATTCCAGCTGCGGACGGTTTGTCTTATAATGGTTTCGACAGTGGTACCGAGAGCTGACCGTTCTGATTGGGAAACTACTGAGGTCACTTCCCTACGTTTATTTTAGGACGTAATTTTTTGTTATTTGAAGCCCCACTCTGGCTTTTGCCAGGGGCCGCAATATAGGCAGGCCATAAATATGGCCAATTGTCTGAACGCGGTTTCTGGGACCTCTCCGCGGTGATCCTCATCCGCATGGTGGCACTTTGTGTCATCGGGTGTTTATCGCTTGTGTGATGTCCTGGTGGGGTAGAAATTCATTCATTCATTCAACTACTGAAGTGAAATTTAACTAAACAAAACCATAACAGCCACACACACAAAAATGCTAGGGTTGGTTCTGCAACATCCTGTAAAAGATACGCAAGTAACTTATCCTTAAAAGGGTTTTACTGAACTAACACCAGCATTGATAGAAAGTTATGGATAGACATGATTATAGTGTCGTCCTGTTGTGTAATGTCCTGATGGGGTACAACTTACATACATACATACATAACTATAGTGTTGTCCCCTTTTGTTATGTCCTGGTAGGGTACAACTTACATAATACATACATGACTAAAGTGTCGTCCCGTTGTGTAATGTCCTGGTGGGGTACAACTTACATACATACATGACTATAGTGTCGTCCTGTTGTGTAATGTCCTGGTGGGGTACAACTTATATACATACATGATTATAGTGTCGTCCTGTTGTGTAATGTCCTGGTGGGGTACAACTTACAAACATACATGATTATAGTGTCGTCCTGTTGTGTAATGTCCTGGTGGGGTACAACTTACATACATACATGATTATAGTGTCGTCCTGTTGTGTAATGTCCTGGTGGGGTACAACTTACATACATACATGATTATAGTGTCGTCCTGTTGTGTAATGTCCTGGTGGGGTACAACTTACAAACATACATGATTATAGTGTCGTCCTGTTGTGTAATGTCCTGGTGGGGTACAACTTACACACATACATACATGCATGCATGCACGCACGCACGCACGCACGCACGCACGCACGCACGCACGCACGCACGCACGCACGCACGCACGCACGCACGCACGCACGCACGCACGCACGCACGCACGCACGCACGCACACGCACACACACACACACACACACACACACACACAACACACACACACACACACACACACACACACAGACACACACACAGACACACACACAGACACACACACAGACACACACACACACACACACACACACACACATACATACATACATACATACATACATACATACATACATACATACATACATACATACATACATACATACATACATACATACATACATACATACATACATACATACATACATACATACATACATACATACATACATACATACATACATACATACATACATACATACATACATACATACATACATACATACATACATACATACATACATACATACATACATACATACATACATACATACATACATACATACATACATACATACATGATTATAGTGTCGTCCTGTTGTGTAATGTCCTGGTGGGGTACAACTTACATACACACATGACTATAGTGTAGTCCTGTTGTGTAATGTCCTGGTGGGGTACAACTTACATACATACATTCATGATTATAGTGTCGTCCTGTTGTGTAATGTCCTGGTGGGGTACAACTTACATACATTTATACATACATGACTACAGTCTGCTCCAGAAGTCGTGGCCAGCCTTAAAAATATGTAACGTAGTAACGGTTCTGCATACATTGTTGAAGTCTGGCATGATAATCATCATCATCATGTAGCAGGTCCTTTGCAGAACGTCGCTCTCATAACGGTCTGCCTGAGAGAAACTCAGTCTCTCGCCAGCTCTCCCGCCTCATGTACTTCCATACTCAAGGACTCACTTATACCCTGTGCACATCTTCGTGTAGGTCGGCCCTTGCCCCTCCTTCCTGGTACCATCCCTTCTGCTATAATTTTTTTCCAATCCATCGTGGCGCTTGATATGACCGAAATGTAAAGTAGTAACGGTTCTGTATAAGTTGTTGAAGTCTGGCATGCTATCAGTTAATAATCATCCTCTTTTAAGAAATATTTTTAATATCAACAAACATCTAATTTTCATTTGGCTGTACATGGAAGAAAACACAATACATCTAATCAAAGTAACCAGAGAGTATTCTTTTGCCTTTCTAGCCCCCAATGGAACACAGGCCCTCAACCAACTCATGCAGCTCTTACCGTGTCCTCCCCATCTTTCTAACTTCATTCTCTAGCTCCCTTCTCCGTGTGTTTTAGCTCCCTTTATTCCTGTGCCACTGTGGGTTCCAGTGCAAAGACATTCTAGTTATGCTGTTCTCCGGTTTTTTTTATGTGTGCCCTATCCAATGCCAGCGTATTTTCTTCACCTCTTGGTCCACTGGAGCTTGCTTAGTTCTCTCCCAAAGCTCTACATTAGTAATTCTATCATACCGTTTAATTCTCTCTATTCTGCGCAGGCACCAGTTAATGAGAGAGTAAGGTTATAATTAACTGAATAAAGGAACTTTTCATAACATCAAAATGCAGGCGTCTCATAGTCGCTTCACTCTCGAGCCGTAATTTCCAGCATTAGCCTGCAGTGAGCTTTATGAACACAATTTTTCCTTGTATACGGAATAGGCTGTCAACATAATCACCACGTATTGTTGTACATGTGAAAAAACTTCCACAATCTCCACCAGTGTGTCAATTACTGAATATTTTAGTCTGTAGAGGTTCACAGATTATTTCCGAAAAAAAATCAAAGAAATTCACCGCTTTAAGAAAACAGCAGCGCCAATGCACTTGTAAATTATATAATCATCAGGAGGTGGGAAATCTAAGGCCAGATGCAATAAATCAGTGTTAATTCATACAGAACTTTCGAGATATTTGCTAAAGTGCTATGTCACGACTTTTGAAACGCCCTATATCAACGTCACCTGAAACATTTACCACTAGGCCTATTATGAAATGTTAAAGAAATACTCAACAACAGAACGACTATACATGTTGGGGAAGGAAAGGGGAGGGGCCTAGCCCCCCCCCCCCCCACCCTCCTTAAAATTGTATAGGCTCAGCCCCCACACAGAATTATTGGGGCTCCCTAAAACATGGGAGGGATGGGGCCTCGCAGTTTCTGATGCCCTGACGAGTATGTATGTTTGTTTGTTTGTTTGTTTTAGTATCCAGAAGTCATCAGTTGTTAACCCTTAGGCTCGGTATTATGGATATCGCAACCTTTCGGCCTTGATTCCATTGTAAATACCGTAAATCTGGGATAAATGTGGCTTTTCTGCCTACCCCCGGGATTGAACCCGGACCACAAGGAGTTCGTCACCCGGTCTCCGCGCAATCCGGTTTAGCCAATTACGCTACAGAGCCGGGCTCACGAGTATGTATAAAATATGCCTTATTTTTACACATTAAGAAAACAAATATTTATAGACAAAGTGAAAGCGCCATTAGAACAAGAGCTGGCATCACAGACTGGTTCCCAGTAACATCAGGAGTAAGACAAGGTTGTGTATTATCACCTTTACTTTTCATAATATTTATGGACAATATTAATAAAATAGACATAACACCAACAGATGTCGATAAACAGGAGGACTTCCATGAGCTGCTCTTTGCCGACGATTAATGCCTATTTCACAGTGATAGTAAACAGGTGCAAGACCACATAAACCTACTACACGACAGTTGCCTCAAGCATCATATGAAGATCAATACTGAAAAGACAGAAGTCATGAGCATAAGTAGAGAGCAACAGACCATCGACATAAAGATTCTAGATCACAGCCTAAAACAAGTGCAAGAATTTAAATACTTGGGAAGTATCTTTACATTCAATGGTAAAATAGACAGAGAG